TATCTGATAAAACTTAATTGAACGGAAAGGTTAAAATGAACTACCTATTAAACTTAAATGCTATTGAAGTATAAATTATAGATTTTATTGTTTGATATATTATAATATTCTGCAGCTTAATTTATAGCCTAAATAAACCTACATCTTAATTAATTGTATAATACGCCGAAAACAAGAAAATATTTTAAACAGGGTAAAAGTTAAAATTTAGTTTTTAGTATGTAGATAGCTAATAATTTTAAATACTTGCTACCTATTTTATTATTAGATGCTTATGTAAATTAAAATACAATTTTCGTGGAATTTAAGTGTATAGCCCAAGAAGTTAAATATATTTATACTAATTATATGTTTTAATAAGCTATAAACTAACCATTGAGAACATGCTTGCTAAAACTTAAAGTACCCACTTATAGTAATCCAGTTGAAAATCGTTGATTTGTTTATTTTTTATTACATATTTAACATACATTAAGTACTAAAATCCTAAAGTCACGTAATACGTTGTGTTTTAATTATTTTATGTTATTTTTTATTACAAAAAATTCACTAACCTTAATTTGATCCCGTGTTTTAGTATAATTATATTATTATCTAAGAATTATACAATATAATATATAATGTATAAATATAAAATTTATCTAATAAAATACATTTATTAGATAACTTGCTGTTCAAATGTTCATCAATTTATAATTTTTGGGGAAAATACACTTAAAATAGGTTAAATACAAACTTGGTCCAAATAATTTATTTATAAATAACATTTTATTTAAATAAACGTATTTGTTTTGTTAAGTTATTGAAATATGAATCTTCAGTATAAAAATATAAAAACGATATTTATTTATCAAACCTAACCTACTAAGAAATTTTAAACCAATTTAAATTGCTAAAACATTAAGTAAACCAAAAAAACAAAAATGTATTCAATTAATTCTTAAAAAACATATTAATTATGAAAAATATTTGTATAAATATGTTCAATGAAACGTAGTTGAGAAAAGTTTCAAGTACGTAAGTTTTTTTTTAATCTAAATTCGTTATAAAGTTTTCTTTCCATGAACATTTTACAAATGTTGAACTTATACGTACATCTAGAAACATTTTTTTCACTTTATTTACGTATCAAAATGTGTACCTCATTTAAAAGTCTAATGAATTTCTGAAAATAGCAATCGTAAATGCTTTAATAATGTATAAAATCACCAAGTAACAAGTATATTTTCAATATTATTAAATTTCAGTGGGTGCAGTGTCAAGGTTCATCAAATAATTTACTCTTGGACATTAATACTCTTTAAAGTATAAAATATAATGTATTTGAACAGTGATGAATTACATTTTTGGTATTCAATGCTATTTAACGATAGAGTACATTTTTAATTTTTTTATTCGTTGGTTCAGTTCTGTAGACGGTCTTAAGGAGACCGAACGAAAAAAGATCGACGATTGATCTTGAATTCGAGCCAGTTATTTCGAATAATGCAGACAGTATATTGTATTTTTTCTTTCTTTTGCAAAACGATAAACATTTAACTAATTTAATAATATAATTTAATACACAGTTCGTAATTATGTGTCGAAATATAAATTTAAATACGCCTACTACAATGTTGTATAGTCTCTTTGGCTGTATTTCTAGGTGCATTTATAATCATTTATGATTGAAATTTAAAATAAAACAAATGAAAACTCTAATTCTATAGTTTATATATATAATATATATATATATTTAATATATTTACAAAAATAAAATGCTATATAATATAAAAAAATGATTCAACCTGCAAGTTAAAATAATATAAAATAGAGTAATGAGAGCAGTATAATTTATATTATGTCCACATACTACTAAAATGTTCAGTTTAAAAAATATATACCATACAGGCTATGTACCCTATAAAAATAAATCAATGAAATATTTTCATGTTCTTTGTAATGACCATGAAAAGCACATTTCAAAAAAGCCTTTACCTTTTTATAACTGTAGTATTATATGGACACTATGAGTCTATAAAACATTAAGCCATTAACCATTTGATACAATTCGATGTGATTTTTTTATAAGCTTGTACAACCAGTAATAACAAAATTGATTAACATTATAATGTCAAGATTACAAAATATGTTAGCTTTAAATTATAATTTTTTTATTAGATTTAAAGTTTTTATAATTTTTTTGAAAAAAAAAGTCAGTTTTTAAGTTGTAATACTATTATTTTAGTTAAGCTTGAACGTTATTCAATTTTATCATTTACCTAAATCTGTTTTTCAAACTTTTACAAAAAGAAATCATATTGCATTTGCTATTTTATTGAAATACCTAGAACCATATTCATTATTCGAAAATAATTAAAGAAGATTTAGACTCAGGAAATGTACTAACTAACAACTAACTATTCTATTTTTCCAATTAATACAATTTAAAGACTATATTATGAAAATCTGGAATTTTTACTATACTTGAATATTTTTTTTTTTTCAGCAAATAAAATATATAATTAATATTCAGACTAATTGATAAAAGTACACATAATTTAATTAATAATATTTATTCATAATGATTCAACACAATAGTGGTGTAGGTAACGATTCTAGTTCAATAATACATCACTCAATAACAGTTATATATATTTTTTCTATCGTGACTTTCATAACACAATATTGAACTTTTTTATTTATTTACTTGTGGTCCTATTTTCTGAGAAAGCTATAACTAACAACTGAGCTAAATATCGCGCTTCAGCCTTTAGGAGTAAATATGACCTTCGGGCACGTACGATTTCAAACAAATGGCGAACACACATAAATTCTGATATCGGTTAGGTAAGGACGAAGAGAGTATATGGCACCAAAGTGGTTATTAATATAATATATATTCATAATATATAGGATATTATAGGACGGTATGTTCGGGAAATCGTTGTATATTAAACATTAAGTAAGAAAATAGATTGCTATAAATTTCAGACATTTCATAAATAAATCAAAATACGAGTAGATGTGCAGTGCATGTACGTGTGTGCTGGATAATTTATAATTGTATCATCAAGGACGGTCTATACGTTTTAAATTCAATTATCAATGCGTTTAAAATGTTAAAACTTTATTATTCACATACGATATTAATGTATTAAAATCGTTTAAGAGTATTGGACATAAATTGTAGGTAGGTACTTCAGTTAATTTATATTTATTTTTCACATTATATTTTTATTGTATAATATACAAAAATTGTAAATTCCTCTAATTTTATTTTTTAAATTTTCCCTGTACAGGATTTCCTTCAAAAACGTACAAATTTCAAACGGGAAGATAATTATAACAAACTTTTTAAATTAGGAAATTCTCATGGGATACCCTGTATAATATTTCAAAACTTGAATATTTAAAAAAAAAAATCATAACTAAATTTTATCTCATTGTTCAAATGTTTTATTTCATACAAAATACAAATCCCAAGCTTACCTAACAGACACGTTATACATATAATTTGCAGGTTCTTATCATTAAAATTCAAAGAACACTGTTTTTTAGCTTTATAAAATATCAAATAATATCATATTCATAAACAAGTACCTTATTTTTGCGCTACTAACTATGTTTACTTTTTGTGTTGAATTTTATTTTCCAGCGTATGAACTAAACACACTGCTTAACTATAACGTAACTTTGCAGTGATAATTTCACTTCATTCAATTTGTATTTAAAATTATACGAGAATTCGACTGTACGAGAATTGAATAAACCATTTTGATAAATGAACGAACATTATGTGTTTTGATTGGTTCAAGTTCACTATTCACGCATTCGCCAATCAATGTATCGAAAATACTTTAACAAACGTATGCGTTATGCAAGTATTCGCTTTAGAATTTCTAGTGAATAACATTGTAATGAATTGGACATATTTTAGTTTAGGTATATTATTACACATAATACTAATTGAAATAATCTAATAAAACGCCATTTGATCGTTTGAATTTAACGAATATGTACATTTAAACTGCAACGCTTCACATAATTATTTTGGCATACAGTTAATTGTTTTATTGGGTAGGTGTATTGTGTATAACATATTGTTGATATACAACAGGGGTGGGCATCGATCAGAGAGTCGCTAACCACTGATTATAATAATGAAAAATAACCTGAAGTGTAGGAAAAGGCTATTATTATATTAGTAAAAATGTTAAGAAGCAATCAGCGTTTTACCTTCCCCTAGTATATAATGTGCTATGTAATTTAATTTTTATGATTTAATATGACAATATGGATTAATATATTCATGATTTTTGCAATCGCAGTGATCCAATAATACACATTGTGGTCGAGATCGTAAAACAAAAAAAAATGGTTCTTAAATATATGGAAAATCATTCTTCACATTCAAATTAATTATTCTAAAGTACTCGTGGGGCTTTAAATAAATTATTTTTTGGATTCAGGATGGATCAAACAATGTTTAAGATATAGAAATCTGGTTATTTAAAATTTAAGTACCTAATTTTCTATAATATATTTCATATGCTTCGGTGTTTTAATTGTTTATGTTACTCAATTAATGTTAGGGAAACATAATATAATTATTTCATCCATCAAAATAAGTATCAAATAAAATATGATTAATAGGTTTAAAATGAATTTGTTATTTAGAAATAATACACGTATGAGCAGATATATTATGAAGTTTTACATTGGACTCAGAATGTTTGTTTCTCGTTAAAAGTTTTAATTAATAAATTTAATTAAATTATTATGAATATTTTTTTTAATTGAACAGTTTTAACGGATACAAGTATAGAACTATAAGCGTCATAATTATTTCCGTTAGACAATCTGTATTTACTGCTTATAATATATAATATTGGAAACTACTTATTTAAATTGAACTTATTGTCAAATTTTAATGACTAATATCTATTACAGGAAATAACCATAAAAAAGCTCATACTTTCATGATTACACTTACGTAATATATTTTTTTTTTGTTTCAGTAAAGACCAATGTAATTTTCAAAATCAATTTTGGGCAGTGCTTTATGTGACATTAGTATGTATGTATACAATTATTTTAAGTAATGGAATTTGTGCATGTATGATCGTATATTGCTTTTTCTCGTGATAAATCAAACTCATTTGGATAAAGTTAACATTTTAACACGGAAACTGCGGTTTACAAGGTCGAACTTGGTCAGTCGTATTGATTTCACATACACTTACCCCTGATGCTTGTCCTCCCTTCCTTTCACAGTTCTCTTGCAACATGCTCAACCAACATAAAACGGTTCATTGAGTATGGTAATGAACAGCAGCATTATCTCTTATAGTGTAGTAACTATATCAGTAAGGTTGGCATTTTCCGGCCATAACACATATAACGCGAGGGTATGAAATATAATTTCTATACATTTTGTAGATTAAATCAACACTATATATTAAACCTAAAAACAAATATCGATTTTCATACATGGGAATTCAACATTATTCCTCTATTTGCTTGTCCTCTGATATGTAAAAAAAAAACTATTTATCTAAACCACCATTCAAATAATAATAATAATATAGCGATTCAGAAGTATACATAAATTGTATTTTAATGTTTACAAATCGGATATAAAATCGTTTTCAAACAATATTAAATCATGAACATCATAATAAAAACATGAAATATTTAGCATAGGTACAAAATATATTTCATTGAATTGAGAAAATTTGATTTAGTTTTACAAAGAATTGTTGAATTAAGAGTTTTTTTGGAGTAGATTTTTTTCATAGATTATTCCCTTAATAACTCAACTTATAATTTAGTCTAACAAGTAACAATAATTTCAAAATGTATTTCATTTATTTAACTACTTCTCACTCAGTTTATTTATCTAACATTGTTATTCAGTCGTATGACGGAAACAAGACTACCTATACCTATGACTATTGTTCTCCAACACATATAAATTGCTAGTAATATTTGACTTATAATATAAATAAATAGACATACAATGCCTACGTGTAATTTGTAATTTTGAGCTTTAAAAGAAAACATTTTGATGACATAACAACGCAGAGTAAACCTATTTGGCTATCGATAAATATGGTATAGATATAAAATAAGAAGCTTTGAAAGTTGTTAATTTTTGTTTACGTTTTGGTCATGTACCTAATTATATACTTAAAATATGTGTTGGTGATCCAATACTCGGCCGAATCGACTGTAATCGACGGTTGTTTGCAAACACGTGCTGTTCCACGTCGGACGACCTAGTTTAAAACTATTAAAAACGTGTTAAATCAAGACGATGTGAGCGGCAAGACGAATTAATGGCAGAAGGCAAAAAAAATACGCGTATGCACGAGCGCATGTAACAATAATGACGTAAAATAACTGCCTGGTTTATTATGCCGCAACGCTTATATTATAATAATATGATGTTCAGAAAATATTACAGTTAGCACCTCCGAAGTATCACGATTCGGTTGGTACATGGTACATATTATTATTATTATGCTTATTATAGTACGTGACGACCTGAACAACGGGCGCTCGTATTGTGTTGTGTGCGCGTAACGAGTAAACGCGTTATGAATTTGGACTCGCGGGGTGTAGTTCATAAATCACGAGATAATATTATTATTATTATTATTATTATTATTATTATTGTCACTGTGAGTTGCTATAATGAAGACGACGACAATGACGACAGCAAATCAACACACTCAGAGCACGGATAACGCGCATACCTAGGTATACCTATAATATAATAATATATATTAATATTTTATTCTAGAAGTCGTTTACGTTTCGCCGTACGTACTCGCTGCGTCATTTCCGCTACGGAAAATGTAGAATAATAATAATAATAATATTATTATAATAATAAATTGTGTTATGTGATTGATTGAACGGTCGACCGATGGATCGGCGACGCGGAAACAGACACGGATGACGAATAATAACACTATAAAGAAGTGATTTTTTTCGCATCGAGTTGCGGTATCGAAACTCCATCTCTGTTGGCATCCAGTACTCCAGTGTATTTATTTCAAAAAATTAAATGTTACGTCTGAATCGGTTTCGTACAATAATATCGTCATCCTTGGCGTTTTCCGCCAGACTTCGGGCAATGATCCTCTATCACTTGTCGAATTAAAACGCTGAAGTTTAAAATAATTAGAAATGTCAATTCTTTATAATATTTTGTTCTGACGCCCATTAACCGCTTTTTCTTTAATTTATTCTTCGTTTTTTCGTGTTTGTCACTTTCTGAAATTTGCATTGTGAAAAATTATTTTGTGTCGGTCCCAACTGTCTTTGAAAACGCCTACCAACTGAAAAATGTTTGGGTGTGCGGAATACTGTGAGTTGCTGCAAAACTCAACGGAACATTGCTTAACCAATTCGGACGTTGATATCATAATAGCATATTGGAAACCAATAATAATTCTGATATCGATCTTTGTGAGGGGAACCAATTTGGAATCACTGGTTTTATTTTCCTGGGGATGAATATTTGAATAATATGATGTTTCGACACGCAAAAAAACGCGTAACGAGTGAATTACCCCGAGATTTTAGAATATGATATACTGTTTTTATTATTATTATTATTATTATTATTATTATTATTACTGACCCTCTGTAGGTATATGTTGTTTTCAACGGAGCTCTTATTTTCTATATTTTCTCTCTTTTCGAAATTATTTATTTTTTATTTTTTTCACTACTCGTTTTTATTGGCATCTTGGCAGCCGTTGGTCCACGTTTTCACCTTAATCCTCGGATTACACCAAAACTACGGGCGTGCATTTATTTTCCTCTCCTTCACTCGGCGTACCTATACCTCATTATCCAACCCTAAATTTTACTTCGATGTCTATAATAAACACTTTCGGCGACGGCATCATTATTATTCCTATACGTTCGTCGTATCCACGACTCGTACAACGTTTACGCATCGCACTATATGCACACGCACAGATATTCCTGTTTGCAGACATAAAACAGAAATTGCATCTTACCCCTAACAAAAGACGAGTTGCACTGCGGTAATATTTTTTACGAAAAAACGGGACTTTTATAAAAAAAAAAAACCCCCCATTCCGACCACCGAGAGCCGGTGGTGTACTGCATCGTTCACATTGAGTGAACTGCCAATCTAGTTTCAAATGAAAAACAATGAAAATTCCAATACGCAGTCCGCCGCATATCTGGGACTATTTTAATTGCATAATATTAGATTATGTTTCTAGCTGACAGTGATATTTGGAGGTTTTATACTTCGGCCAATCGAAAATCTTGTTTCGTGTTAACTACCTATTACACCTGAATATTTATGAAACATATAATCAAACGCCGTACTGTGATAACTCTATAACATTATATGGATTGGAATAATTGTTGGATATTTATAAAAAAAAATAATGTCAAATATGTGGTGTTATTTGTCACATAATCATATATACTCGTACATAGTATGGGCTATGACTAAAATATTTGACTAAATTACACGAACCACACAAGCTTTAATTTTTTTTTTATATTTTAATAATAGCACATATGCTAATAATAAATAGCTTCAATTTGTACAACTGTACAACATACTGTTTACAATAAATATTACTTTATTGATTCATTCTACATCAATAGTTAATTGAAAAATATACATCTATTATTACTTGTAAAATAATTAATTCTGTTTTACAAAAATATTGTTAACTTAATAATACAGCGTTGAGAACATAATTATTTCGTCTGACTGAGTCTATACAGGCGATTTTCAATTAATTTTAAAGTGCTGCTAATCATGGCAAAAGAGTACATCGGACTAAACGTGATTTATCCAAATATGATTAGATGTATTCAACTTAAGGTTAATGAAACATAAATAAAATAATAATGACACTGAGTTTAGTAAGTACATAATTCGTGTATGTGTTATACATGTTATATTATATTTCATACATTTTTATTGATCTTTAAACAAAAAATTATTTTATTTTATATTATACACTCTTAATTGTGTATTCATTCGTCTTAAGAACTTTAAATTCCTATAATTTGTCTATAATAAATAAATATAAATTGTATGCATTGATAAATTCAGAGATCAAAAGAACATTTAAAAGTATATATTGAATAATGTCATAAACTATCACATAAAAATATTATTGAACTAAAATATTGGTTCAAATACTTTACTCGGCTCACAATATTTCTCAATTAACTAATTAAGTTTAAATACTCAGAATCGGTACTTCAATAGGGCATAAAATAAGGTTGTAAAGTCAAGTACTTATATAATCGGTGTAATAACCAATTAATATTTTCAAGATTTTCATTCTCGCTTTGATCTATATTATAATAATATGTATACCTACAGGCTAAAATATAACCCAACAACATGCATAATATTATGTATAAGTTTAAAATATTAATACAAAAATTAAATACTTTATGCACACAGCAATTTTATCTCCTAATTTATTGCTTTACTGTGTTTTGCCAAAAATAAAGAAAATACAATTTGTTTTTAATCCTTTGTGTGCATCAAGCGTAATATTATTATATTGAGATTATGAAGTTAATGGAAAATTAAATTCTCAAATTCAAAAATACATCGTTACCAATTTCGAGTGTAATTATATACATTTTAAATATTATGTTCTTTACTTTTAGTATCGATTGAAGTAAAGCTTGAACTTTAATGGTATAAACTATCAAGCCACCTGCAAGTAGGCATCACAATATCACATCATTTAAAAAAAAAAAAATATTACAATCAATTTTGAGGACTTACATTTTGCTAGTGCATTCTCTATATAGGCACCTACCTAGAGTCCATTTTACTTTTAAGATGAATTTAATTGTTGTGAAACGTGTAAACCATTATATGTGCGGTTACTGAAGTTGTAGAACATGTATATACCGATGAATATTACACATACCTACATATTAATATTAGTTATTATCGTCGTCGTCGTCGTAAGAACCCTACTCCGGCACATCCCCCACATCTACCCAAAGGTGTACACGGTTGTATGTTACAAACTCGGTTTGCGA